GGCTCCCGTAAATGTCTCTCGTACGGAAATGTGTTTACGACCTCGGGAGTGTTTTGAAAATACGCTCGTTGCGAGAAACTAGAGAGTAACTCAGCGTTTGATTCATCATGAATTAAAGGATCTCTAACACATCTTCAAGTACGAAATCTGAATGAAAATGCATAATTCCATCATTATGACTATTTTCCTCTATAGCAACAAAACATAATAAATATTTGATAACAAATGTTACCAATATACAAACACACCTTTTAATAGCCTATTGTAAAATTACATTTAGCATTGGATCCATTTCTTTATGAATAATGATAAAGATGAATGTTTTACTGGATCGTAACAAAAGTCATAATGATGGAATTATGCATTTTCATTCAGATTTCGTACTTGAAGATGTGTTAGAGATCCTTTAATTCATGATGAATCAAACTTGCTGAGTGATTTACATCAAGTGTTTCCGCACCTCTATGCATTGGCAAAGGCCAATCCTTAGTTACATTAGTCATATTGTTTTTTTCCCGTTACTATTCATCCTCAGTAGGTTGCTCTTACACATTAATTGATTTCCACATGGCAAAGTGACATTTACACACTCCTGAAGGTATTAATGAAGCTGATATGAGCTGAGGAGGGTCGCTATGATAAGCGTCACGAGAGGTTTCGGGCTCGTAAATGTCTCTCTTACGTAAATGTCTCTCGTAGACGTAGGGAGATGTGTTTACGAACTCGGGAGTGTTTTGAAAATACGCTCGCTGCGAGAAACTAAAGAGCAACTTGTTTTACGATATAAACAGACCATTTACGATATCGTAAGACGTTAATAAATCCGGCCCCAGTTTCGTACTTAAAAAGACCCGAACTTCGAACGCCTAGCGTTCCGACGCCCCGAACTGGCGTTATGTTATTGGAACCTGAGTGGCGGTGGGGCGCCAGCATGACTGTCTTTTATGGTGGCGTTCGACAGTGTTCTTCTTTACTGTTAAGCATGCACACAACGAATATTTATTTCATAATAGGCAAAACAACACAAAAATTTGGATAGTATTTTTATGATCATTTAGCAATTACATTACAATCGAAATATTTTGAGAAGACTTTACTGCGTATGTTGGAATCTATCTGAACAGTTCTCACCTTATTTGGGTCCCCTTATTTCAACGTTATTTCTTAATAATTTGTTGAACATGAAGCAAATGCATTTTGCACAATATTCAATACGCATTCCATGGTATTAAAACATGATGATAGCATGTACAAATAACAAATAATTCCCATTTTGATAGTCTGGGCATAGCCGAAATATTACTTAGCTTATGACTTGTATTGTATGCATGTGTGTATACAGACACACACACGATATCTATCTATCCATCTATTTGTTTATATCTATATCTATATATATAATATATATATATATATATATATATATATATATATATATATATATATATATATATATATATATATGTGTGTGTGTGTGTGTGTGTGTGTGTGTGTGTGTGTGTGTGTGTTGTGTGTGTGTGTGTGTGTGTGTGTGTGTGTGTGTGTGTGTATATATATATATATATATATATATATATATATATATAAACAAATATATATATTTTTATATGGGCATACACATAACTTTGATATTTTTATCAATACTTATAGGTGTTCCATTCCTATTACTCTGAGGTGAATGGCTACAAGTGGACTGCACTTGAAATTAGCAGATAATCTTGAATGATCCCAGGAGTTTGTGAATATATGTATCAATGAAATACAGTAAGATGCAAGCACTTTCCGATGATAGGTCTGCTTCCTAACAGCAGAGCCATGCAAGCAAGCAGTCAAAAATATGAGGGTATTACTGATTTTCCTGGTGTATCAGGGGAAATTGGCATTATAGAGACACAGTGTGCATGTGGTCCTATTCTAGAACTATAATATGTGGTGCTTGTACATGACATCTGTGAAACAGCACATTTTTTTGGCAAACATTTATTGCAGCACAGAATGTGAGCAAACGCAGCACATAGAATGTTTACCTGAAAATATTCTATGTATGCCTTCACATCTCATTTCTAATGTAAACAACCCTACTAGAGGCTCTGAACTAAGATATGATGCAATTCATTCAATAATCATGATTTTGATTGTGAGAAGGCATTTGATATGTCAGAGATGATTAATTTGTGACAATTTTCTCATAAACATGGTCATTTAACAATGGGTTATTATTCCTACAAATGAACATTAAAATAGTAATATTATTAACAATCAAAATGACAATGTGAGGGAAATATAGGGTAAAATTGGCAGGTGAGAAGGATTAAGGGGAAAAAGCAGGCACTATAAATATTGTGCATGTGTATATGCCTGCTTGTATATGTTACAAAGATTATAAATATGTTGACAAAGGTGTAAGAGCATGTTTAATTAACTTTTCTAAAAGATTAGCTGCACGTTAAAAATATATATGTAGATATTTGAAGTGATAACCTTGATGAAAAAGTCAACA